ATCCTGACTTCTGGAGTTTTTTCGGCATCTCTTGGAACAATTCTTATAACTTCGCGGTCCGCCTCACATTCGGGTGCAAGAGCAGCCCTAAGATCTTCGACTCACTTTCTGAAGCACTCTGCTGGATCCTCCTCAACAACCACAAACTTTCTTACGTCATCCATTTGTTGGACGACTTTCTCACCATCACACCACCATCCTCACCTACACGGTCTTTCCACCCTCAAGTCAGCCTTTTCCCAGCTCGGCGTCCCCCTCTCCCTGGAAAAAACAGAAGGACCCAGCACTACACTCAAACTGAACAGAACTCAGTCATACACTAGCAAAATCTAGCTTATACAAAATTAAATTAGCCTCATCACTTACAAAAACACTTATACACATATGTTGCTTCTTAAGTGTAAGTGAGTCTGTAAATCTCCATTCGGGGTCTTTGGAATATAATAGCCACCTATAAGTTCTAAATGGCCCATCAGATCAACAGGAAATCCCGTGGCTATACAACCTTCCAATCAAAAGTTATTCAGGTCGCTCACACGAGCGATGGGTAACATTTACCCTAACCCTGAAACACCAGACAGAGAGTTGTTGCAGCTCCGTGAAATAAATTAAACCAAAAATGATTTTGAATTCACGGACAACTCTTCTCCAAACTAATGGTACAGCCATGGGTAAGAAATTTTAGCCTGCTTACGGCAATATTTTCATGGCATGGTGGGAAACAGCTGCACTCAACTCCTGTCCCAAAAAAACACTTTATTATTATACAGGTATGATCATATAATTAGAATACCATTAAAAAGTAGATTTATTTCAGTAATTCCATTCAAAAAGTGAAACTTGGATATTATATTTGTTCATTACACACAGACTGATTTATTTCAAATGTTTATTTCATTTAATTGTGATGATTAAAACTGACAACTAATGAAAATCCCAAATTCAGTATCTCTGAAGACCAATACAAAAAAAGGATTTTTAGAAATGTTGGCCAACTGAAAAGTATGAACAAGAAAAGTATAAGCATGTACAGCACTCAATACTTAGTTGGGGCTCCTTTTGCCTGCATTACTACAGCAATGCGGCGTGGCATGGAGTCGATCAGTCTGTGGCACTGCTCAGGTGTTATGAGAGCCCAGTTTGCTCTGTTAGTGGCCTTGAGATCTTCTGCATTGTTAGGTCTGGCGTATTGCATCTTCCTCTTCACAATACCCCATAGTTCCCCTTTGAGGGAACTCGAACTGCGTCGGTTACGACACTATGGGAACGCCTCTAGGCGTAGCAGGTCTGAACGTGAATGAAATCACTCCAATCCTATTGGTTTGCTGCTAGAACAGTAAGGTGTGACAGAATAACCGGAGGAGTATAAAGCACACCTGTACACACTCATCATTAGCTTTTTTCTATTCAGCAGGCGCTCTGTATGTTGTTTGAAGAAAGCTCCAGTCCTACAAGCAGTGTGTCTTACCTGAAGAAGAAGTCTACCAGCATGTCCGGCAACCAGATGTACAGAAGGTGTGTTTTTCCTTGCCCGCGGTACATCACGGATGGAGATTCTCATGAGATGTGTGTCTCATGTTTGGGGATGGAGCACGCCCGTGCAGCTCTCGAGGGGCCCGGTTCCTGGTTCTCGGCTTCTCCCGCTGGATCCGGAGACGCTGCAGGAATCCGACTCCGAGGAGGCGGACTTGCTCAGCGTAGTGGACGATGACTTCTGGGTGTCGGGGCGGCGTCATCAGGCGGGCTGCTGGAGGTGGTGACTATAGCCGTGGCTAAGCTCAACATCAACTGGCCACAGGAGGAGCAGACACCACAGGCTAGTGGTAAGCTTGATGAAAGGTTTCTTAAGCACCACACGCCACCTCTCTGCTAGCAGAGTAGAATAGCAGAGACCCCACGTCTATTCTTTCCTGATTTACATGATGAACTGAGTAAATCATGGGGCAGACCCTTCTCTACACGGCTTTCCACACCCCGATCACTGAACTACAGTAATGTGATGGGGGTTAGGGACCGTGGTTATGGGAGGATGCCTCGGGTGGAGGATGCGCTTGCGAGCTATCTCTCCCCTTGACTTGCGTCCTCCCTGGAGAAGCCGGCGGCGTTACCCTCCAAGCCTTCCCCACAAGAAGGCGTACATGGCAGTGGGCCAGGCAGGTGCGAGCTTGCACACCATGGCGGTGCTTCAAGCCTACCAAGCCGACCTGCTACAGGAGATTGTTCAGAGGGGGGGTCCCTCTGAGGAAGATCTGGCGGAGCTTCACAGAACCACGGAGCGTTAAGACGCAGGGCGAAGCGTTCTGGCTCATCTGCTGCATTTAGGGCTGAGGCTCAACGCAAACAAGAGTGTGGGGTAGGGGGTAGGGGTAGGGGTAGTATGGGATTCGACAACGATGCGGGCACAATTGTCGACACCATATTGGCTGCCGTGAAAGGGGTGAAGTTAGGCAATGCCATCACTATAAAACACTTTCAACGAGTGTTGGGTCTCCTGGCGGCTGCGTCCAGCGTAATACCATCTGGACTGCTGCACATGAGACCCCTGCAGTGTTGGCTAAGGACCAAGGGTTTTTCCCAGAGGGGAAATCCTTTCCGTCTGATTTGGGTTACGCGCAAGTGTCTTCGTTCCCTATCAGTTTGGAAGGAAACTTGGTTCCTGTCCCAGGGGCCCGTGCTGGGAGGTTCTTGTCGCCGGCTGGTCATTTCGACAGACGCCTCCCTCACGGGCTGGGGCGCGGTCATGGGCGGCCGCTTTGCAAGGGGATCCTGGCAGGTGCATCAGTCCAAGTGGCATATGAACTGTCTCAAGATGTTGGCGGTGTTCCAGGCTCTAAGGAGTTTCCTGCCCGATCTCCAAGGCCATCACGTCCTGGTTCGTTCCGACAACACAGCGGTGGTGGCCTATGTGAATTACCAGGGCGATCTGCGCTCGCATCCTCTGTACAGACTGGCGTGTCAGTCCCAGCAGAGGTTACTATCGCTCAGGATGATGTATCTCCTGGGGACGCAGAATCAGGAAGCAGACCTGCTGTCGAGGCAGGGGCTGAGGCCCGGGGAATGGAGACTTCACCCCCGAAGTGGTGGAGCTCTTGTGCGGAGAGTTCGGCCCCATAGACGTGGATCTGTTTGCGTCTCAAGAGACTACGCACTGCCCGCTATGGTTTTCTCTCGTTCCTCTAGCCCCGTTGGGTCTGACGCCATGGTACATTCTTGGCCAAGGCTACGTCTGTACGCTTTTCCCCCAGTCGCTCTGCTCCCGGGGATTCTGGAGCGGGTCCACCAGGAAAATGTCGGCCTACTGCTTGTAGCCCTGTTCTGGCCAACCCGGGTGTGGTTCTCTGACATCATGTTGCTCCTGGATGGCCCGCCGTGGCAGGTCCCTCTGAGGAGAGACCTGCTGTCCCAGGCGCAGGGCCGGGTTCTTCACCCTTGCCCCGCCGTATGGTGACTGTGGGTCTGGCGACTGTGGGTCTGGCCCCTGAGGGGTCACAGTACCTAGAGGCGGGTCTAACAGCCGGAGCAGTCGAGACCCTCCTCAGCTCCAGGGCCCCGTCCACACGGATCCTCCGTGGTGCCCGGAGGATGAGACCTGCGACTCAGTCCAAGGTTCCCACTCGGGATCTGGCGGTGGTTCTTGGGGCGTTGGCTGAGGCCCCCTTCGAACCCCTGGAGTCAGCTGAGGCTAAGCCCTTGACCCTCAAGATGGCCTTTCTCCTTGCTATCACCTCTCTGAGGAGGGTGGGGGATCTCCAAGCGCTTTCGGTTTCCCCGCAATGCCTGGAGTTTGCCCCGGGGAATATTAGGGCTATCCTGCACCCTCGTCCAGGATACATCCCTAAAGTGCCTTCTTGTGCGGCAGGGTCCACAGTGCTGCAGGCATTTCATCCTCCACCTCATGTGATGGCGGAGGATGGGAGACTTCATCTGCTCTGCCCTGTCAGAGCACTGATTATTTACACTCTGAGGTCCTCCCGTTGGAGGAAGGCTGACCAGCTGCTAGTGTATTTTGGGTCCCCCAGGGCTGGGCTCCCTGCACCCAAACATACTATTAGCAACTGGATTGTTCAGACTATTTCCCTGGCCTATCAGGTGCGCGGTTTGCCTTCACCTGTGGCTGTGAGGGCTCATTCTACCAGAGGCACGGCGGCCTCTCGAAGCCCTCCTGTGTGCAGATGCCAAGTCCTGAAAATGAAATCTGCATCTCCATAAAGTTGGTCAGCAGCAGGAAGCATGAAGTGCTCTAAAACTTCCTGGTAGACGGCTGCGTTG